TCCCAGAGACGGGACGTCGCACTGTGCAACGATTGCGCGGCATATGGAGCACTTTCAAACGAACCAACGAATGACGGCATAACCCAAAACGTCATGCCCATCTCTCCTGAATGGTAGCGATTGTATAACTAGGGCACATCGTTGTTGGGGAATCCCCAATAGGGGGGTCGTATTTGGCCGCCAGGAGAGGGGGTCGTATTTGGGCTGGGAAAATTTATTTTGATAGTTGATTTTTCTCGCTTCACGGACGTTGTAAAAGGGAGGGGTCGTACTTGGTCATTGTTGGGAGGGGAGGTCAGAGGGCCGGAGGGGGGTCGTACAAACCCGCCCAAAAGAAAGGAGGGGGATCGTACAGACTCGACTAAAATCCGCAACCGACGCAATGATGTGCCTTGTGTATAACAGTCTGGTGAAAATGGAGCTCTCCCAATTAGTCGGAGCGGTGCCAAAGGGATAGAAGAGCTCATTCTCGGCGTTTTGACCACTACTTGCTTTCTTGCTAGATCTATCATTAGCCGTCTATCACATTATCAAAACAGAAAAGACCCGCAGGCAGCCTGCGGGATCCCTCCTGGCACCGCCCGAATAATTGCTACAATAACAAATGCGATCGTTGTTGGACAGATCGCCCACGTCCCGTTTCCGCTCGTTCCAACGAGAAAGCTGTGGTGAGTTCAGTTGAGGCCAGTGAATGCACCAACGAGCATTGAACAGGGATAAGGGTCTACCGTCTGTGAAACACGACAGGAGTCCTAGTTAGCCCCGGCCAAAGAGCCATTTTCGTTTGTGACTGCTGATTTTTCCCTTTTCAAGCGCGCAATGTACCCTCCATAGTCATCACCGCCACAGAACTGCTACTTCTGACATGGATCGTGTCTAATCCCCCCTACCTCCCCCCCACCCCCGCCTCTACCTTCCCCCGCTTTGACGGTAAAAATTTGATGAAGTTTGGCAGAGATAACAGGAAATGAGGGGGAGGTGCGTTGATAGCTGTTGCCATGGCCATGAAAACAGATCGGCTCAGATAACTTAGAAATCCATAGGTCCACGCAGGTGATGTGGACAACCGGCAAGCCTTATCGGGCGAGTTGCTATATTTTCAAAAATACTTACCGTATTGTTTTCCACGTCACGTCTTGAATAGCTTCTCGGGACCCGATTATCTCTGTTGCAGATCGGAGGCTGCAATGAATGCGTTCATATCACTGGTAGACACCACCTTTTGTACACTTGATTACAACTCGAAGTAAATGTTCGCGCTGAATACTTACACTACCTTTACTCGCACAATTGTTTGTTTTTTCCATAATGACAAAAATAACAATAACAGCACAAAATTGCGAAGAGCCCAAACATCTACTGCCTGTCTACCTAATGACCCCTTCCACATAGCGAACATTGTCTATAGGGCAAGGCTGGCAGGACTTACGCGACTTCACGAGTCGGGCGTGCTTTGCGCCTTGCTGTTAGCCTTCTTGAGAAGGTCGATTGACCTTTGGAAATGCATGATTGACAAAGAAACAAAAGCTCTGTACCGTCACTCCATCACATCCACCATCAAATTTGAAACAGAGTCGAATTTCGCATCGAAATCGAATAGAAATCCGATCAGCGAATTTGAATATTGATGCTTCTCGATATGCCATATTGAGAGCAGCAACGTAAGTAGGATCACCCAAAAGCAAACGATCGGTATGACACCTGAAGGCTATATCAGCTTTGCCTCAGAAAAGGGTAAATGCTCGACCTTCTTACCCTTTTTCATCAACAATAAGTTCCTTTTGACCTTGGCCATCTTCCACGACACAGCTATGAACAAGGATTCCAAATTCTTCTGAAATACTCAAAGACATGTGTACTGCTTATTTTTATGGAATGCCTTTTCTTTCCTGACTAAGTTGCCCGCTAACTTCTTCTCTGTCCACCTTGTACGATTGCCCTAAGCCCTCGTCTCTTGTTTCGATATTGTTAGTGGGAGACCACTCTTTTCGCTCTTTCCAGGCCGGAAGCAGGGTAAAGTATAGGAAAGGGTGAAACGGCGGGATCAGTATAACTCAATTCTCCCGAATCATTTCAACTCCCCACGAATTTTCCAATAATTTCACCAGTTTTTCTCTCACAAACTGCCCTGTTGTGGAGTAGGGAGGAGGAATCTATTCAGTCATCTTTCAGAAAGTCTTCCAGCGAGCCACGGAGGCGCTAGATGACGAAATGAGCTCTGTCGATTTTATTCCATTGAAATGGAGTGTCAGGTCGACACAAAAGTGAATTTTCGACAACAACTTTTTGCTTTTATCTTAGCTCTCAAGTTACTTAGAAAGCACAAAACTTCTGTTTTATGCGACCAAGGAAAGATGCTCTTTATGACTGTTCGAAGTGGGTTCAAGCGATTAGGAGTTGGAATTGAGAAATGGGCATTGCATGGGGGGCCCTCTTGAGGAGCGACTGCCCGCAGAACTTACCCACTAACTTTTAAACGTCTAATATCAGCTGATGGTGATGCTTGATTATAATAAGGAATCATTCCATAACC